GACCACAAATGGCATGTCTGCCACCTAATCATAGACCTGCCTTCTCAAAATGTCCCTCCTCAGCTTGGGATTCCAGGGTTTTGCAACCTCCTACCTGAATCTCAGTGTTCCCACAAAGGCATTTTTGTTTATGGATGGCTGCCAAATTATTGTTGGTGTGTGTGGGGGGTGGGGGGGTCCTCCTATTCTGCCATCTTGGTGATGTCCCATATAAGCTTGAGTATACTGCAAAAAATCTTGCTGGGATTTTGATGGGAATTACTTTAAATCTATGTATCCATTTAGGGAGAGTTGGTATCTTTATGGCACTGAGTCTTTCAATTGGTAAATATGGTATGTCTCTCCATTTGTTAAGATCTTTGATTTATTTCATCAGTGTTTTATAGCTTCAGCATACAAGTCATGTACATGTTGTGTTAAATTTACATCGAAAATTTTTTGTTGTTTTTTGTTTAGTTTTGAAGTTATAAATGATTTAGATCTTTATTTTTGGTGCCCAAATGTTCATTGATAGTATATAGAAATACATTTTATTTTTGTGTATGCTATAACCTTGCTGAATTCACTTATTAGTTTTATGAATTATTTTGTTGCTTCCTTGTAATTTTCTACATGAGCAATCATGTCATCTGCAAATAGGGATAATTTTATTCTTTTTTTATCTGTATGTCTTTTTTTTTTCTTATCTTATTGCACTGGCAAGAACTTCTAGTCCTATGTTGGACAAAAGTGGTGAGAGCACACATAATTACTTTGTTTCCCATCTTAGGTGGAAAGCATTCATTCTTTCACCATTAATTATAATAATAGCTGTAGGATTTTGGTAGATGCTCTTTATGAAATTTAGCAAGTTCTCTATTTATAGTTTTCTGAGTTTGTTATTATGAATGAGTGTTGAATATTATAAAATGTTTTTTCCTCATTGATGAGATCATATAACTTTTCTTCTTTCGTCTTTAAAGTGATGGAAGTGATTTTCAAGTATCAAACAAGCCTGGAATTAACCTCACTTTGTCATGTTGTATAATTCCTTTTATGTATTTGAATTCTATATGCTAATATTTTGCTAAGGATTTTTTCATCTATATTCCTGAGATATGTTGCTCTGTAGTTTTCTGTTTTCCTTTTCTTTCTCTCTCTCCTCTCTCTTTTTCTTTCTTTTTTTATTTATTTATTTTTTTTACTGTCTTTGTCTAGTTTTTGTATCAGGGTAATACTAGCTTTATAAAATGAATTGGGAAGGGTTTCCTCCTCTTCTGTTTTTTGAAAGAGATTGTATAGAACTGGGTATATTTGATAGAATTCTCCAGTAAAACTTTCTGGACCTAGAGATATCTTTTTGGGAATTTTTAAATTACATTGTCATATTCCTTACTAGTTATAGGTCTGTTAGACTATTCTATTTCTAATTGTCCAAATTGTGGTAGTTTGTGTTTTTGAGGAATTGGTCCATTTCATCTGAATTGTTAAAATGTTTGTATGTAGAGTTGTTCATAGTAGTCCCTTACTAGCTTTGTGATAGTCTGTAGTAATGTCCTCTGTTTCATTCTTGATACTGACAATTTGTGTCTTCTTTGTTTTTTCCTTTGTCAGTCAGTGTTATTCATCATATCAAAAACCAACTCTTCATTGCATTTTTTCCCCTCCATTGTTTATGTTTTCAGTTTCATTGATTTCTGTTATTATTTTCTTCTATTTGCTCTGGGTATATTTTGCTCTTTTTTTTCCCCTAGGTGTTTAAAGTAGGAGCTGATTTTAGACTTTTCCTCTTTTCTAATTTAAGCTTTCAGTGATATAAGATTTCCTGTCTGTATTGCTTTAGCTGTTTCCCACAAATTTTGATATATTAAATTTTTATTTTCACTGAATTCAATGCTTTGGGGTTTTTTGTTTTGTTTTGTTTTGTTTTTTTAATTTTCTTTGACACTCCCTCTTTGGCCCATGGATAACTTAGAAGTGTATTGTCTTTCATGTATTACAGAATTGTACACCTGAAATCTATGTAACTTTAATAACAATTGTCAACCCAATAAACTTTAACTTAAAAAAAAAAGAAGTGTATTGTTTTGTTTCCAAGTGTTTGGAGATTTTCCTGTTATCTTTCTCTTTATTCCACTGTGATCAAAGAACACACTTTATATGATTTCAGTTCTTTTAAATTTGTTGAGATTTGTCTTATGACCCATAATGTGGTCTCTTGGAATATGTTTTGTGGGCTCCTGAATAGAATATATATCCTGCATCTACAAAAGTTATTTAGATCCTGTGGATTGATTGATTGATTGATTGATTGATTGACTGATGGATGCTGCACTCCTCTGTATCCTTGCTGATATTCTGTCTAGTTTGTTCTGTCAAATGTTGAGAGAGGGATATTGTAGTCTCCAACTTTAATTGTGGATTTGGTGACTTTTCCTTCCAGTTTCATTAGTTTTTGCTTCATGTATTTTGAATCTATGTTGTTTGGTGAATATTTACATTTAAGATTGCTATGTCCTCTTGGTGGATTGAACCTTTCATCATTATTTATGTCCTTCTCTGTCTCTGATCATTTCTTTGCTCTGAAGCCTGCTTCATTTGATATAAGTACTCCTCTTCCACTATATTTGTATTAATGTTTACGTAATATACATTTTCCCATCCTTTCATCCTACTTATATCTTTATATTTGAAGTGAATTTTTTTAGACAGCATGTAGATAGATTCTGTTATATAATCCACTCTGCTAATCTCTGTCTTTTTTTTTGGTTTATTTTGACCATTTACACTTAATCATTATTGATATGTTAGGATTTAAGTCCACCTTTATATTTTTTATTTTTTGTTCTCTCCTTATATCCCTTTCCTCTCCTCATTTATAATATGATTGTCTTAAATATTTCCTGTGCATACATTTAGAACCATATTACACAGTATTATAACTTTGCTTCAATCCAAATAAAATTTGAAAACTCAAAAGAGTAAGAAAGCCTATTGCGTTTGCCAATTTTTTTTTTCATTTTTCTTTCCACAGATCTTGAGGTTCTGTTCATTGTTTATTCAGTCTGTTTTCTTTGTTGTTCATGTTGGTTAATTTCTATTATTTTATCTTCAGGTTCACTAATTCTTTTCTCTGTCCCCCTCCATTCTGCTGTTGAACCCATTCATTGAGTTTTTTATTTTTATGATAGTATTTCTTAGTTCTGCAATTTCCATTTAAAAAATATTTCTTTGCTAAGACTTTATATTTCTTTCTAATTTTTTGTCTTGTGTGCATTTGTAATTTTCATTGAAGAATATTTATAATGGCTGCTTTAGAATCTTTGTCAGATAATTCTAGCATCTGTGTCATCTGGCAATCTGTGTATTTTGGATATTATTGTATGAACTTATGAATTTTATTTAAACGTATTTTTGGTGTCTTTGTGACACTGTTCTCAGAGAAATGGAGGGCCTGTTACTGCCAGGTGGAGGTAGAAGTTCAGATACCCCACTTGTCCTCCATTGATACCTAAGAGGGAAATGACTCCTTTTTTACTGCTGGACATATGTGAGTTTCAGCTTCCTGCGAGGCTTCCACTGACATCACCCTGGCTGGGAGGGCCAGGTGTGCTTTGTTACTGTTCCCCATGTGGCTTCCACTGACAACACTGGAAGAAGGTAGTGGGTGGAGCAAAAGGTGGCCTCAGTAACGCTGGGTAGTGGTAAAAGTCCGGGCTCTCTGCTACACCTGTTCTGATTCTATGCCAGAGTGGTGAGTAGGGATGTTTGGTTACTAATGTTAGGTGGGGGTGAAAGTCCAGGGCCCCAAGTGGTCTCCACTGTCTCTATGTATATATGTGTGGGGGGGAGGGGCTCATTACAAGCCTGCAGTGATGAGAGTCCCAACACCCTATTCTGCTCTCTATCACACCACCCTAACTGGGCTATGGAGACTCCTCACTACTACCTGATGAAGGTGGAAGTCTGGGCTCCCCGCTTGCTCTTTGCTGGCGTGCATGGTGATGGGTCACAGTTTCCATGTGATGTTTGCCTAAAGTAGAGCAGTTATTTTCTAAAAGTTTTCTGTCTCTCTAGGCTGCTCCATCCCTAGTCCTTTGGTTAAAGAGAATGAGGTTTTATATGGGGCTTTTTTTATCTGTACCTATTACTGCTTCCAGGTTGCCAGGTTCTTCAGTTCCAAGTCTGGGATATAAGAGGCAAAAAGAAAATCCAAGAACTCATCACTGTGCTGTTCCTTAGATTCCAAGAACCCTAGGTCCTTGCTGGTCTGCCTTCTTCTCTCCACCTTTCAGTGTCTTCTTATATTTAGTTTATATATAATATCAGATGTGTTAGTTGTCCTTAACAAAAGAAATAGGGGCAAGTATGTCTACTCCATCTTTCCAGAAGTGGAAGTCCTAACTTTTTTCTTAATGTTAAGCAGCACTACCTGATTTTGAGGCAAGAGTATTAGAGTCTTCTGAAACCTTATGTCTGACAGGAAGCAGGAGAATTCGTCTGTTATATTCCCAGACTTCTTTTCTTCTTAAATGTGAGGCATTTCGGTGACTATGGTCCATTCGAAAGCATTCCTTGGGCATTTGATGTCATGTTATTTGAAAGATTAGAGTGTCAGAATGTCTGAAGATTTTATTTGTAAATAACATTTATTTCAATGTCAGGGTACTTCTTTGAGCCTGTTGATAGTCTTTGCTCACTCCTTGCATTTCTCCCTGAAGCTTCCGAAGGCCATCATCTAACAGAGTAGGAGGACCTGAGGGAGCTCAACCCCAGGCGCATAGATGGGTGGCCTTCTTTCATTATCCCTTCTCCTGACACAGGACTTGCGCTGGAAAAGTAAAATCAGATCCATTGACAATCACTTTTGAGCATGTGAGGGCAGCTGTCACTCGGTGGGCTGGCTAGGTTTTATCTGTCTATAGTAGGCAAGTCATTGTGTTTTGTATTCCTGATTTAGCAAGAACATGAGGGGAATCCAGCTTTGCAAATAAGCTGTTGTATATCTTTCTCTTTTCCAGGCAAATGCTTGTTATCCCGAATGGAAGCTGCCCTGTTATTCTGAACACTTATTTTTGTGAAAAAGTTGTTGCCAAAGAAGATTCAAGAACAACACATGAAGTGCACGATTGGAACACATCCCTTCCAAGAAGAAGCATCACTTTGGCCCAGATGTTCAGATTTGAAAGTTTAACAAATAATTCACCTGAAAGCCAGGTAAACTCTCATTGGCTTAGATGTTTTGTGCTTTGTAATAATATTGGATTTGAAAGGGTTTTAGTGTAAGTGAAGATGTTTACCCTTGGTCTTCCTCTAGATATTCAGGAAATATATATGCTAGTGCATCTTGTTATACTTAAAGAAATTATAGTTCAGATCAGTATTTACTTGTGGTCTTTTTATAGTATTTCATCTTTTTAATTATGTATTAATCTTTATTGAAATATCTGAGTTTTTTCTGCTCTCATCTTATAATTGTCTAAGTTTTTTGTTTAAGCCCTCATTTATTAAAAAAGAATCAAGTCTTTTTTCACAATATCTGTCTCCTTTGGGATAAAAAGAGCTGCATAAACTTGAGATTATAAACTGGAAATTGTTTTTTTGGAATTTTATTGGCCCTAAGCCATGATCATCTGACAAGATAAATTTAGGGAACCACTAAACTCCATTTGCAGTGGGCATGAAGGACACTCCTAGGACCAGTCCAAGGTATGTGGCTCCCAGTGCACTTCCCTCAGAGTCACCAACTTACCTGAATCAGCACTGAATGGAATGCTGAAACTGACAGATAGTGTTAGGAAAAATAAGAAAGATTGAAAGTAGACAAACTTCCTTCCTGTTTTGTATATGTGTAATCAAGCGGATTCTCCCTTTCAAAACAACTGTCTGAAGAGAATTATGCAAAAAATGGTGGCTCTCTAATCAATTTAATTGTACCAGATTTAAAATATGGCACAAAATACAATATTGCTTTAAATTCATGAGATATGTTTTCATCAATATTGATGATTAAGCTGCAGTATAGAACAGTAGTTAAAAGTATGTGCTTTGGAACCAGGTGTTCTGGTTCAGTACTGCCTCAGCCACCTTCTTCTAAGTGACCTTGGGCAAAATATTTAACTTCTCTGTGTCTCAGTATTCTTATCTATAAATGGTGATAATGATATAATCTACCTCCTTGGTTTGTTGTAAGGTTAAATACATTTGTTACATAAGCACAATATGTAAAGAAAAGTACCTGGAATGTAGGAAGTACTCTAGAAGTGTTGTTTTCTAATTATGATATTTAATATTATTTTAAAGGTTTGTGGGAAACTACATGAGCTTGTAAAGTGCCTAGCCTAATAGATTGCACATAACATGCACTAAATAATATGATTTAGTTTTATTAAACCCTAGTCATTCTTCTGTTTTGTTTTTTAGTTTATCCTGCTGGGCAAACCTCATAAAAGAAAAATTTTCTAAATTACCATGAGGTATTTTAATAGCAGGAATGTCTACATGTTTTCAAAATCCCAAGATGGTCTGTGCTTTCATTGAGAGGAAACACTCTTTGCCGTTTCCATGTTACTCTTGCTCACCTTGCCCTCCTCAGCAGCATTGGTTACCTGGCAGACATAGAGTTCCTTGCCATAGGTTTGTTTGTTTTAGATTTATGTTTTTTAAATTTATATTATGTTTTCTTTTTCTTTTAGTGTTCTGCATTTCCATCAGAGGATTCCCTAAGAATGTCATTATTTGGTATGTAAGTGTGCCATCATGAGTCAAACTGAAACTTTACCCTTTGTGTGACTTGGCCAGTTTATGTGTAGTGGTCTTACCACCATGGGAACAAACTGGACCCACAGACATGAAGCAGCAAAACAACACTCCTCAGCCCAAGCTCCTCTGAAGGATTCTCTCCTAGATGCAATAGAAAGCCAAAGAGCTGCCACATGGTTGGGAGTTGGGAGTCCCAGTGGTGGTGCAGAGTATACTCTCTTCCCTGTAGGTGTCAGCCAGGAAGAGGCTCAGCTGCTCCACCCAGCTCAGACCCACCTGAGTTTGGTGAGTGACAAGACACAGGCATGGGTACCCAGAGTCACTTAAAGAAAGCAGAGGCTCTTCTGGGAGCAATTTCTTGGCTGCATTCCCCATATACATGGGTTGTTTTTGTTTGTTTCTTTCTTGCATTAAAATTTGGGATCATGGTGTGACAAAGGAGTCTACCTGTGTATTTATAGAAAAAGTCCTTAATTTAATTTAAGGACTTTTAAAATAATTTACTTTGTTGCACTTACTTTTACCTTACTGATTCACGTTATTACAAATAACACAAACATAAGAAATATTGGTATTGTTGTAAAAAAGCCAAGACATGTGCTTACCACACCTAAAAAGATCACTGTCAAGTTTTATATCTCTTAAGTAAATGGCAATTAGTAAATCTGTAAATAAGCCTTTCACAGAGTGCTGTCTTAATCTACATCAGTGCTACCTGATAGAACTTTCTGCAATGATGTGAATGTCGTATATCTGCACTATCCAAGAATGTAGCCACTGAATACATATGGTTATTGAGCACTTGAAATATGGCTAGTGAGACTGAAGAACTAAATTTTATTTAATTTTTATTAACTTATTTTAAGTAGCCCCATCTAGCTAATGGCTACCTTGTTGGACAGTACAGCTAGATAGATACATGAACCAGGGCCAAACACATGATTCAGCGTACTTTGCTCATATGAACTGTGGGGGCGATGTCTTCTTTTCTTCTCAGAATTAGGCCCTTCCCGATTTCGTTTTTTCAAATAGCTGTAGACACATTGTTGACTTAAAAGTTTGTTTATTTATTTCTGTCAGAGCCTTGGCATAACCATTGGAGTTTGTCTTGCTTTCTGTGTTAAGTTGCCCTCAAGGCTGTAATATGGATTTACAACAGAATAGAAATTAAAAAAAAGGTGTTGGTTTATCAATAATTTTTTCTATCTACTCTTAATAAGAAAATACATACTGTATTAATAATTAACAATCATTCTGTTTTAATGGTGCCTTCTGATGCTATTCAGAAGGAGCAATAGGCAACAATTCTGGGTTAATTATAAATCTTCAAGTGGATGGCACTTGATTTGAAAGTGCTCTGGATTTCAAAAAGTCTCCTTTAGGTGTAGAGTTAGAGAATATTTCTTTTGGATTATAGAATTGTTTTATTTTGTTTGGAATGTGTATGTGTATAAAATCCATTATATCAGTTTTAAGGTTTTTACCATGACTTGTGCTCTAGACCAGGCTTGTACTCTTTGACTTAAATCTATGGTAAATCTAAACAGAATAAACTGGGACAGCTACAGTTTAGACAAAAGTTTCATTTTGCTTTGCTTTTTTTATGGTATGTTTACAGTGTTAGGTTTTGGAGAAGGGAATACTGAATAACTAGGCAATAAGTATCTTGGTAAAGCTTTCCCAGCCCAGCACACAGACTCTGAGGAGATGGGGACAGTGGGGACTGAGTCACAATCAGGAGAAGGCAAAATGAAACTGGCATAAGGTTGCTTCCTTCTGAGTAATCACAACATGCACTTTGAAGGTTGTCCCTCCAGCTTCTTCAGTGGCACTTGTTTTACTTGTTGAACAAAGAGAAGAAATTGGAAGCTGAAGTCTAGAAAATTGCTGCCAGTGGTTAGTATTATGAATGCTTTGGATTTGTACCTTAAAATACATACTAAGACATATCAAATGAGACTATGCTTGTGGTGGATTGAAGGAAGGCCAGTCATAAACCTCAAAAGCAAGAAAACAACATTCATTTATTCAGATATAATGAAATGCATTGTGTGTAGTTTGTTTCTTGTAGTGCACATGAGATTGTACAATGCTGAGGCTAAAGTCCCATTTCACAGATGAGGAAACTGAGCCTCAGAGAGGTTCTTACTTGCTGACAGTTACATGGGTGGACAAAAATAAAAATATAATGAGATATAGAATTCCAAAATGACAGGTTTGTAGAGAGTATTGATGCCAAAAAGGGAAAAAAATGAGTTAGAACCAAGCTGTGTTTAGATTAAGGCTGACTCAGGAGTCAAGTAATCCTGGGGCAGTGGAAGAAGTAAAAGTGCCCAGCCATGGGGAGAATTAATTGGACTGTGTAGAAAAATAAATTTTTGGACAAAGGGCCATGCATTTAGCATTGGGTTTGAGGACAAGTCTTCCGAAATGTCTTTTGGGTACAAAAATGTCTTATTGTGTAACTGATTATTAATATTTTCTGGATTCATTTGCTTAATAATCAGGCTCTCCAGTTTACAAATCAAATTAATATATAAGTAAAATTATACTTAACCCTCTACTAATTCTTTGCTAATGTGTATGTAAAGAAAAACAATAAAGTATCTGCCTTGGAGAATCATGTAACACTATATATTCTAATGTAGACTTTTCTATACATACACATGTAATGTGTATATAAGAGAAAACATTATTAGAAGACTTACGTATACAGCTTAGAAGATCCCTTTCTTTTCTGCTTGCAGTTTCTACCCATAACTTATTGACCATAGATAAATTTGAATGACCCAGTGTGCAACACATTTGAGTTATTCTTGTCCAGAGGCATAAGTGCAGCAGATACAGAAGGGAAATTGCACAATGACCCCTTACTACTGAAGGCAGTATTAGGTCTTCTCTCTTGTCATAATCTGCTTTACCCCAAATATCTTTCTAACTATCAGTAAACTGAAATACAATTTTGATCACTACGTGTTTTCTATAAAGTACCAAAAATTAACCATATCAGAAGATACAGTATAAACTTTGCCACAGTTTGCCACAAATGGTCAGTTGATTCCTGATGAAACACTTTATTTAGCACCTTGATCGTAGGTGTCAATCTCAGTCTATTCCCAGTGTTCTAGGAATATCACTTTTCTGAGATCAGTAAGAGCTTATCTTCTGATGGCAGACAGCCCAATTTTTGCCAGCTTTGAAAGTAAAGGAAATTTATTTGAAGCCAGCTGGTCTTGAACAAAGTCAGATAAAATCAGTCAAAAGGCCCATGTCCTCTAAACTATGAAACATTATCAAAAATACACTTTAGATTTCAGAAATATAATATGTAAGAGTCTCCTGTCCATTGTTCTTCTAGATGACATCCTTTAATTCAAGCTGTTAAAGAAAACATTTCTATTAGGTTTTTCAAGGTGTTATAAGTCAGAGTAACCAACACAAACTTTTTAGTTTTATAAATCACTAAAATCAGAGGTAACAAAAAACCAATCTAGAAGACACTCCCTAACCATTAAGCTAGGTGGTCTATTCAGAGCCCAAAAACACCTTTAGCTAGATCCACTCTATATTGAATGGATATTAAATAAATGCATGACTAATAAAACCATAGGCTTTTTTAGCAGAAAGGGAACACTGGTCTTGAAGATAATGTATAATGGAGGAAACTGAGACAAAAAAAGGTAAGTGAATACTCCAGTGAGCTCCTACCTTATGGCAGAGCAGAATGTAGACCATATTACCTTGCTCCCGGCCCATGGTGATTGCCATTGAACATTGCCTTTCTTCTCCCTTTCTGAAACATTCAGTTCCTTTATCCTTAAGATATTTAACTTAGAGACAAATAATTTAATTTTATCCCTTAGAGATGCATGATCTTTCTTGCCAGTCACTAAGAAATATTTATAATGGGAGAGTTCATCTTTTTTGAGAACACAGAACTTGCTCAATAGTCATGCATTTGGACACAAAGCTGAAGGACAGAACCTTCCAGTTTAACAGTTTAATAGTTACCTTGCATTGTAGTTTCATAGAAATTCATTGGGCTAAACTCAGGAAGCACATTTTCCTTTTTCTATACCTTGATGTTTTAGTCTCATTTTATCTTTTGACTCTTCTTTTAGTCTCTTATATTTTTTTCCAACTTTTGAATAAGAAAAAACACCCACCATTGCCCTGGGCAAGGTTCTGGGTGTGTAGTGGTTAATAAAACCAGACATTGTTCTTGCCACTCATGGAGTCCCACACAAAATAATAAAAAACAAGTATGTTTACAATTATAAGTTGTGATAAATGCTCTGGTAAGAAAAAGTAGAAAATCATGAGAGAGACCAATGGAAAAGGGACAGAATTCAGTTTAGAGGATTCAAGGATGGGTGTTCTAAGGCAGTACTATTTTAAATGACACTTGAAAAATAAGTAAGTGGATGTTAGGTAAAAAGCAGATGAAAGAGGATTACATGCAAAAGAAAGATTACCTCTCAAAGCTCCTAGACAGGAGGGGGAAGCCATTGTGTCCAGGATGCATAGGCCAGCAGGAGAGCCCAAAGAGGCAGGCCTGCCACAGTCTCATACGCCACATGAGGGGACTGTAGTGTTTGCCGTGGTTGCCCACTGACCCAAAACAAGGTTTACCTGTTTGAAAGACAGCTTTAGCTGTAAAATGTAGGATGTAAAATGGTTTGGGAAGAGGGGGAGCATGGAGCAGGGTCCTAGTGGAAGCAGAGCAACCCAGGAAGAGGCTATGGACGTCATCTAAGTCAGTCCAGGCTCCTGAGGCTCAGGTGACACAGGGAAATAGAGAAAAGGGTTCATGTTCTAGATGTGTGTGATGACTTGGTAATAGACTGAGTGTGTGGGAGGGTAAAGTAGAAGGAAATATTAAGAATAAACCTCAGTTTCATTATTTGGTAGAATAAAGGGCCCTTTACTGAGATGAAAAAAACTGGAATGAGAACAGGATTGGAGGGAAGCTTGAGAATTAAGTTTGGGGCTGTTTAGTTTGAAACTCCTATGAGACATCTAAGAAGACATGTCAGATGAAAGAGTTGGCTATCCAAATCTCAAATTCAGAGAAGGATTTGGGGAGTTTTCGGCCTACAACTGGTCAATGTGTATATTTGTATATACTTTCATTTTATTTGCTAACTTGAATGGGTTATATTTGTCCATAATGCTAATCTCCAAAGGCACTAGAAGGCATGCAGTAAAAGGCAGATGCCCTCAGCTCTCCTTGTCATAGTATCTCCTACTCCTCTTCTCTCTACCCTCTTCCAGAGGTGTTCTGTCACAGCTAGTAACTATCTAAAGCCAGGGCAATGCACAAGATCACATTAGGGAACTAGTAGACACAAACAGTAGAAGAAATGCTAGCATTGAGCTCTAAGGTCCTCTAGCATTGGAGAACAGGTAGAAGATTCAGGGGCCATCCAAGCAGACTAAAGAGGAAGGGCTAGTGATACAAGAGGAAAACCCAAGTGCATTGTGGTAGGCACTCAGGATAGGGGACTTTCCACGTGTGGGAGTGGGCAGCTACGTATAATGCTGCAAAGAAGCCCAATAAAATGAGGACTGAAAACGTGCAGTGGATTGCTGAGGAGTTCCTCAGTAACTTTACAAACAGAAGATGCAGGGGAATGGTGAGGGTGGAAGCTAGCTCACAAGGAGCTGAAGAATGAATGGGAAGCAGGCAGGAGGGATGGGTTTTGATAGCAAATGTTTTGTTGATACATAAGGGAAAGAGAATGTCCAACGTTAAACAGAACTACAGTGAGGGCATTTCTGTCTCTTGTTTCCAAGAGACATTTTTCTTTTAAAAATGCGCTGAGGTAGGCTGCTAATTGAAAGAGCAGGTTGTCAGACTGGTCTGGGTTCACATGCTGACTTCACCACTTAGCAGGGAAACTTGGGGCAAATTATATTTCTTTATTTACAAAATTGAAATTATAATTCTTCCCATAATACATGTGAGGATTAAATGAGATTACTATGTATGTAGAGTTTAGCATGATGCTTCCCATATAATAAGCACTCAATAGAGGGTGGCTTACTAGCTCTAAGCAAGCAAGCACGAATACTTACAAATTGTAAAATACTGATAAACAACATTGTTACATTAATTAGAAACCTAAAATAAGCAAAAAAAAAAGTCATCAAATTACAAATCAGCATTCTGTGTTAGTATTGAGTTTAATTGTCTGGTTGTGGAGGAAGTTTGATTCATGTTGGGCCCTCATCTCACTTATCAACAAGGAGTTGATGCTCATTTACTTTAGAAAACAAACATTTATGTAAATTCACATGTGAAATATGACCACTGCCTTCTAAATGACGCAGGTATAGAAGTTCCTCTGTAATTAACATGTTGCAAAAAACTACCATAATCCTGGGTCCAGTATTGGATGCTACTGGTAATTATGGCTGGCATACGATTTTTATCTTTGTCTGGAGCAGGGGTCTGCAAACTTTTGAAATGGAAGAGCTGCCAGGGGTCAGGAAACTGCGGCTTGCGAGCCGCAGGCTTTGAAGTAAAATTGAAAATGAAAATAAAACTATCCTAGTTTCATTTATAAAATTTTTAAAAGATATTAGTCACATAATGGTAATTATGTAAAAATATATTTATAGCTCTCAAATAATTTTTAAATTGTTGTGAGGGACAGGATTGGCTCTTCCACGGGTCGGCAAACTTTTGAGACAGAACATACCCAAAGAACCGCAGTTTGCCAACCCCTGGAAAGCATTGAAGACATCCCAGACTCCTGATGTTGAAAATGGCCCAGTATTAAAGCAGAATGAGGAACATGAACTAGTAGATAGTGAATATGATAATTAGAGTTCTTTGTGATGATTATTCACCTTTGTTGTGTTGGGACAGTAGAGAAAGACTATTGTATTAAGCTTGCTAGATTCCTTTTGAAAAGAAAGCCATCAGCAGTGTGATACATTGATTCCCCAGCTCTGTGCTCACCAGCCTGGTCTCCCTGGATGTATGCAGCCCTTCTTCCTGCTTTAAACTTAAACTTTTCCTTCAATTAAATGATCGAATGATATACTGGACTCACATCTCCTGTTCTGTGTACAGACATGGAGTGGCATGGCATTCCTTCTCCAGAACAGTGGTACATATGTGTCAATGATGTTAGAGCCTAAAAGGAAAACTACAACTCCTTCTCCTCAACAGTACATAGGACCATTTCCCCTGCTCTTCCTTTATATACCACCACATGCAACCAGAGTCTGTGGAATGGGTTTATTGATGAACCTACTTAGCATCACATTTTCCTCGGATCATTATTGTTACTCATACTTTATTTTTGAAGTTTCTTTTCTTCTTCATGTTGTAAAGAAGTTAGAATTACTCTTTTTCAATTATTTGAATATATTTATTGTGATGTAAAAAATATGACAACAGGGCATCTTTTATTTTTTTAATTGGGGAATTGGGGGGATCGGAACAGTGCTGGGGAATTGGGGAAGGGGAACAGACAAGTTGCTGTCGTTT